TTCAGTGTGGGTGTGATGGTTCCTGGAATGGAATTCTAAATCGAGAAGGAACCTGGGGGGTGTACAGGCTTATCACAGTCAGATTTCCATAAGGATGTTATCAGGTTCTGTAGAAGTTAATCATTTAACAGATCAATAGCCACATTTGGAATCAGGGAGAAGAAAAATGGTTCCAGGCAAGGTAACTGACATTAAGTGTGACGGCTCACACATAAGCCATTAATACTTGAAATTAATACCCGTGAGTTAACTGCCCCCCCCCAGCCCTCTGTGCACCCCTACCCTGCTTTGTATATAATTCCAGGAGTCCTGGCAATGACTTTCCTCTGACAATTTGTGTTCAAGTTATTAACGAGTTCCTTGGCTAAGGAGTTGGCCCCACGCATATTTATAGAAACGTTAATAAGCTGGCCTTGAAGTTTCTAGACCTTAAATTCGCTTAAGAATGAGCTTGTTTGGGAAGATGAGTTGTTTCACAAGCTAGCTCTGATTGGAGTCTCCTACTGAAGTGTGTCTCTAAATTTAGCTCCTAATTGGATCACAAGCTCCTTCTCAGATACAAGAGTCATGTTGACTTCTATGTAAAACTCCTTCCTTCCCCCGATACGATATTGTAAACTTTCTATAGGATTATTTGAGTATTACCCAAACAGCCCACACAACCACTTGAGGATCAATTTGTATACATAGCAGGTGGTTCCAGAGACCTCACACTTCTTGGTAGTGCCAGTGAAAGGTGCATACCTTAAGAATGGGACACAGAAGGAGTAGGAAGAAAGAAGAAGAAGAAGAAGAAAAGAAGAAGAAGAAGAAGAAGAAGAAGAAGAAGAAGAAGAAGAAGAAGAAGAAGAAGAAGAGGAGGAGGAGGAGGAGGAGGAGGAGGAGGAGGAGGAGGAGGAGTATTCTTCATCTGCCACCCCGACTCCTCAGTCAAAGGCTTGCACCAAAACATCACATAGTGCCTGTTGGACCCGTTTGCTTTCATGTTCATTTGCTTGGTTGAGACAGGGTCTCATGTAGCCCAGGCTGACTTCAAACTGGCTACGTAGCAGAAGACGAACTTGACTCTGAGCCTTCTGTCTACATCCTGAGTGCTGGGATCAGGCATTTCATAGAACTTGTTTTTAACGTGGTGCCCAGGGCTTCTTGCATGCCAAGCTGAGACTCACTGTAATCCCAAAACAACCCAGGGAACTTGCTGAGTGACAAGGGTCCCAGAAAAGCCAATCCCAGAATGACAATAGGAACTAGGTGGACAGACACTTCCTCTGTCACATAGGATTGGGCCACCACTCTCTTTTACGAGTGAGGACCACACTGCAGACAGGGTCTAAGAGCCTTGTTGGTTAGACACCAGGGAGAGGAGTTGGGAGCCTTACTTTAAGAATGATTAGAGAGTTGGGCATGGTAACACAGGTCTGCATTCTCAGCACTCAGAAGGCTGAGGCAGGAGGATTACTACAGATTTGAGTCCAGCCTGGGTGATAGAGCAAAATCTTATCGCAAAATAAATTTTAAAAATGTAGTTTGTCTTTCCAGCTTTTCAGCTCAGTCAATTTCTGGAAGATAAATTACTGAGCCCCTTGCTTCCTTTGGAAGATGCCGTCTCTTGGTGGGTGTGGTGGGAGGGATCCTAAACAGGATCAGTACTGGGTATTTAACATGTGTACATATATGCTCTTACAAACTTGGTACTGTGCAGATGTATACATGCATTTGTCTGCATATGTGAAATATGAGTTCTTTTTATCCACATATTTTCAGTACTTATACTTTTATGGTTGGTGACTGAGCTAAGGCTATAAAGTATCAGGGCTCTTATCTGCTCACTTTGTTTACAGTAGCAATGTGCCTGAAGCCTTTGGGAGTTATATGATGAATGGCCACTTTATATTAGTTATAATCCTTAAAGCAACAATGAAGCTCATGACAGCTTCATTTCAGCCAGAATCAAGAGCAAGCAGGCATCCTTTCTCTCAACACATGCTTACCCAGGTTTCAGCTGGGTCATGATGTTGGTAGTGAAAAATACCACGTTCAATTCTTTACGCTCATTAAAGCGGGACTTCGCCTTGTAGTGACTCCAGCCCTGGAGTTCCACACAGCCGGACGACCCGGGCCTCATAGATTTGACAACCATATCCAGTAGAGCTGTAGGCTTAAAGCTCACCAAACTGACCGATCCTTAAACAGGAATCATTAAAACCAGCACCGCAGGCAGCGTGACTGGTCTGGGGACACTGGTGAGCCAGGAAAGCAAGTCCCCACTTCCATGACATTCACAACAGAAAAGCCCTTCTGAGCAAAGCGTCTGCTCTCTGTGGGACAGCCTGTTAGTCTCCAGACTTTGCACCGGGCTGGAGCAGGGGGCAAGCAGTAGCTCGAGTTGTGAAACTTTGGGGGAGCTATTTGGAGAACCGGCACCAAGCATCAGGTCAAACTCCTCATCCAGTGCTCCATCCTACCAGACAGAAAGCCCTGACTAACATGGTAAGGAACGCCTTAAAACCCTGGCAACTTGTGATGCCTTTCAGCCCCTTTGGTAACTGACAGGACACTTATTCATGGTTTGTTTTTGTTTGTTTTTCAGAATGAATGTCTCAGGTAAACCAGGCTGGCCTCAAACTGGCTATGTAGTAGAGACTAACCCTGAAATGAACCTGTGATCCTGTCTCTGCTAGGTTTACAGGCACGTCCCACCACATACCTGATTTCCATGGCTTTCTGCTTGCTAGGCAAGCATCTACCAGCTTAGTGCCAGCTCTGGCCTGGGAATTCATGATTAGAGGGTTTGTGAAGCATTGTGATCCAATACCTCACAGTACTGAGACAACTGGGCCCTTATACACCCTAAGGCACTACTCCATTGAGCTAGGGCTCCAGTCTGTCTCTTTAAGGCTGAAGACTTGGCAAACATTGTTTAATATAGCCCCTCATTCTGTTTAATCTATCACTGATAAAGTTATCGTGTAACTGTGTCTGTTAAATGAGAAGAAAAAAAAAAAACTTAAGAAATACAAGGGGATTGAACTATGACCTGGAGGTCAAACCTAATTCTAGGCTCCAAGGTGGAGAAGGAAATACTTCCCACCCCAATCCTGATCCTATGAAGTTAGAATTCCTTTCCAAGTAATCTTGAGATCATCAGTTACAATCAAAAGCGCTCTTCAGTCCACCTGTGGAGTGACCCAGTAAAGGGACGCTGCGGCTGGGAGGAAGTCGAGGGAAGGATAACTTTATTTTATAACACGAAGACCAGGAAAATGCTGAGGCGAAGAGAGCACTTTAAAAAAAAAAAAAGGATTTATGTCCGTGAGAGTCAGCACGTATGTATATGCAGCATTTTCCATGCTCAACACCCAGGAAAGCCAGAAAATGGGTACCCAAATTCCCCGGAACTGGAGTTACGAGTGGTTGTGAGCTTTCTGATCTCTGAACTGGGGTCCTCACATGAGCATCGGGGCTTTTAACTGATGAGCCATCTCTCCAGCTTAAGGGCACTCACTCAATCCTGCCAGATTCACAGGTGGTAACCAGGGGCCATGCTCAGTAAACTAGTAAGTTTCTCTCTACCTTGTAAGATAAGAGAGAACGCTTGCCTGAAGAAAACAGTCACTTAAGAACTGTTACAACAGGCCTCTAACTCCAAAGTGGTAGTATGTACCATCTGCCCACGACAGTAATAGTGCTATTAATAGTATTAGCATGGCACAGTGGTGCACTTGGGAGGCAGAACCTGGCAGATCTCTGAGACTAGCCTGGTCTACATAAAGAGCTCCAGGCCAGCCAGGGATACACAGTTGAGACCCTTCCTCAAAAACCAAACACAACAGAGCAAGAACAGTAGAGCTAATAAGCTAGTAGATGGCCACCATTGCCTAACTGGGCACGCACACAGCACCACGGTGAAGGAGGAAGCTCCTTTTATTTTTAGCCTCCTGAGGAAAGTGCTTCAGGCAGCAGGGCAAACTAAGTCTGAGGGCTTAGCCGGGCTTGGTGCCACACTGTGGGGACGGGATCAAGACTTTCCGACCCCTGGATTAATGAGTTCCAAACTGGAACCTCCAGGGAGCCAAGCACAGAGGTGTAAACACCGGAGGTTGGAATCAAGGCTCAGTGGGACCTATCTGTAGTCTGGGCTTGCTGAAGGCTGGACGCCCAGGATTTCCAAACCAGGCTGGGAAACTTGGGAGACTCCATGTCACAACAACAAAACAGGACAAAACGCCAGAGAATCACAAGTTCACTAGGCTAGTGCTCAGCAAATTAAAATCCAGGAAACGCCTATACGCCCTGAGCACACCAGCCTTCAGCGGCTTTAACAAGGAATCGAGTTTACTGTGTAGATGGCTCATGGCAGCTGGATCCAGGAAGATCTCAAGAACAGCGGCAGTAAGACAGTTTACCACACTATTTTAAATAATCTGATAAGCCAGGGCTGTCCTGGTTCATGGAAGTGAAGCAGGGGTTCCAAATTGCCAGGAAATCCTAGCATATCTAACCTGCAGTGTCACATGGAGGCGTGGACAGCTGTGAAAGTGGCCAGGCCCAACACACCCATGCATTTCAAACTTTTGTTTAGGGTTTTGTGGAACTTGATTGCATTGATTCTTGAGCCTGAATTCTGCATATCACAACACTGCTTTGAAATGGGAAAAGATTACACACTGAACCACCAGTTGGCCAGACTAACTGTGTAAACCCTAGTTGGAAGCAGAAGTGGGAGTCAGAGGCCAGCCTGGTCTACACAGAGCTCCAGGCCAGCCAGGGATATACACGAAACTCTCACACCTTACCCCAAATTACAGGGACAAAAAAAGCTGGCCAACACGACTCCGTTTTAAAAACTAAAAGAGCAGACAGACAAGCTTATTTTGCCTGTCAACAAGACAGAACCACCCTCCCTCCCCTTTCCTTCGATAGGAAATGAAGGAACAAAATACTGCACGTTGGCTTTTTCTCCTTCCCCCCACAACCACAAAGAAACAAGTCAGAGGAAATCTTATAAATGTTAGGTTGATTTATACGCACTGCTCTGGCAGTTACAGTCTGTTTACAATGAGGAGTTATCTAACTGAACATACTGTACATGGCAATTAGAAGTCGTCATAGCAGGAGAAAAGCCACAGGCAGCCTGCTGCGGACGGCCTACAAACAGCCAGAGAAACAGCAGGGCGAGCTGGGGTGGAGGTGGGGTATGTTTATTATAAAAGACAAAAACAAAACTCCACAGGATTCCTAAGGAGGAAAGGAATATTCTGGGAGAAAGAGACCAGGATACAAACTGACCCATGTTTTAACTCCAGGCCTGTCCTCAGTTTCTCCAAGAGCAAAGTGGGAGGAGACACTGAAATAAACAGGCCAGTCTGTAAAGTTAGAAACCCCTACAAAGTTGATTAAAAGCTGAACTTGTTTTGCTTTAAAAAATTTAATATACCAAAAGGCCTGCTTTAGTGACATGCTAGTCCCACCAAAAAAAAAATAATCCCCACCCACCCCCATCAGTAACAATGTTCAAGTTGACCAGCCAACTCATACTTCTAACTCGTGTGGATACATATGTATCTTAGCCTAAGCACGGGGCAGGAGGTGGCAAGCACTGGCTCCCACCTGCTACCTGTCCAGCATCTGCTCCTGCAGAGTGGGCAGGAAAACCCTATGTAGTGCTGAAGCTGAGCCCCAGATAACCGACTTTCCTGGTACTGCATCCCCACCCCTGTTCAAGACAGCCTTACTTCCAACCAAGCTCTTTCACTCAAACTTGGCAAACCCATGACTAGGGTGGTTTTCTCAACTAGAAATACACATGTATCCACACATCCATATATATAACTTTTTTGTTTTTACATTTAAATATAAAAATACTACTCTGCTTTGTGTTATAAATGGAGGACCCAGAAATCAGAACTTTTTCTTCCTTTACAGTAGGGCTATCCATCAGGTGATAACACTGAGCTGTCTTCACGGAGGGCATGAACTCCCCCAATCAAAGGAAACACGATACTAGAGAACCTCCAATGTTCCCTCCCCTAACTTCCATCCGGAATAAAAAAGTTGGTTCTGCCTGAAGAACTAACAGCTCTCGAGCAACAGGGAATTGTTAATCCAAGCAGTGGACCTGCTCTTTCCACTATTCTGAAGAAAAAGTCCTCCTCCACAAAAACACCCGCTTTGTGACAGCTACGCCTATTGGACATGCATTCCTGATGAGTCAAAGCAGTGGGTACCTTCCCCTAATCCGCCCACCCCCCCCAACTAGAAAGCTAGACAGGAAAAAAAGGAGGATTGGGTGTGTAGAGATTAAGAACTTGACCCCTCTATTCTGACCAATAAAAGCAAGATTAACTGGGCACGAGGAATAAAAAGACCTTGATATTCCATCCTTTGAGTTACAATGAGGACAAAATGGGACGGGGAAGAGTTGGAGTGGGATGAACTTAGGAAGGGCTCAAGATCACTGAAAGTCTAGGCCACTTAGTTCTTGTACTGGAAGGGCTCGTCGCCAGTCTCGTTGAGAAGGCATGTGCGGACGATGGCTTCTGTCACGGCAAACGGGTCACAATTGGCAGAAGGACGACGGTCTTCAAAGTAACCCCTCTTCTCCTGGCCGACAGTCCGGGGAATGCGGATGCTGGCGCTGCGGTTGGCCACGCCGGCCGAAAAGTCGTTGATGTTGGAGGTTTCGTGGAATCCAGTCAGACGCCGGGCGTTGTCCAGGCCCCCCTTGGGATCGTAGGCGCGAATGTGGTACTGGTGCCGCTTGCTCAGCTTCTCAATGGCCTCCTCAATGTACCTAGTGGAAGCAGTCAAGATGAGGGTCTGACCTCACCACTAGAAACCTGTCCTTCAAGGGCGGGAGCAGGTATGAATCTCAAACGTCTGCCTTGTGGCTTGTGTCTCAGAGCCTCAGACCAGCCCTTAGCATGTAGGACAAATGACCTGTTGGATGGGAAGACCCCCCCCATCACTTCCCTCTTCCCACCAGTAAGAACTAAGTTACCCACGTGCTTGTAGTTTTACTTAGTTCTTCTTACTAAAGACTTTCAAATGCCTGAACCCACGTGACAACGTTCCCGAATCACAGCTGTGATTCTTTCCTAGAGTATGACCACGTCTCCAACGGGTACAAAATGACAAGCTTACGACAAATATGAAGAGCACGGCGTGTAGTCCGTGAGAAGCGCAACTTCCCCAACCCTAACACAAAGCCCTTCCCACTCCATGAGAATAAAGATGGCTCCAGAGGAAGAGTACTTACTTCAGACCGTTCTCCTCCCGCATGGCCTTGGTGCTAAAGTTGGTATGGCAGCCTGCGCCATTCCAGTTCCCGGGAATGGGCTTGGGGTCAAAGGTCGCTATCACCCCAAAGTCTTCACATACGCGATGCAAGATGAACCGGGCCACCCAGAGATGATCTCCCATGCGGATTCCTTCACACGGTCCTATCTGGAATTCCCACTAGAAAGAAAATGTTGACCTTTAAAAATAAGGCCAACTAAGGGCTGGAGAGATGGCTCAGGGGTTTAAGAGCACCGACTGCTCTTCCAGAGGTCCCGAGTTCAATTCCCAGCAACCACATGGTGGCTCACAACCATCTAATAATGAGATCTGGTGCCCTCTTCTGGTGTGCAGGCAAACCTGCATGCAGAACACTGTATATGTGATAAATAAAATTAAAACAAAAAAAATAAGGCCAACTAGCTGTTCAAGCCAACTCAAGCTCCTAGCACGTTCTACCTACCTCTACTTTGAAGCATTCCTAAGCTACCACCCTTAGGTGCCCAAGTACCCACTAGCCGAAGTCCCCACGTGCCCAAGTCCCTTCAGAGGGGAGAAAGGTGACAGAATAATGCTCTTTACCTGGGCAGGCATGACCTCAGCATTTGTTCCTGTAATCTTGACTCCAGCATATAAGCAGGCCCGGTAATGAGCCTCCACGATATCCCTGCCATAGGCTTTGTCTGCTCCCACGCCACAGTAATATGGACCTGAAGGACAATCAGGACGAATCAGTGAAGAGTCAGAAAATCGGTAAACCCCCAAAGTCAGAAAATTAGAAGGTCCTAATCCTGGCTTTCCCCAGTCGCTGGTTCTGGCTTCACGGCAGGTGGGAGAATAGGTATTTCCTCTTTCGCCACAGCCTCAGAGCCACTGCCCACTTTGAATCGCTTTTCACTTTCTTTGTGTGTACGCGCATGTGCAGTGCAGTCTGAAGATAACTTGAGGGACTCATTTCTGGGATAAAGACTCGGGTTGTCAAGCCTGGTTTACCCACCAAGCCATCTCATTGTTCCCCTGTCACTTTAAATTCTAATCACCTCTGGATTTGAGGGATGCAAGGGCAGTCTCCATTTTCTGATTCGGGAGTTGCTCCTGAAAGAAAAAGGAAGCTTTTCTTTCGCCCAGGGAACTTACCTTGGGGCCCAGGGAAGCCATTGGAAGGCCAGCCAAAAGGGTGCCCGTCTGTTCCCATGAGAGTGTATTCCTGTTCCATTCCAAACCAGGGGTGCTGGCTGCTCACCATGTCCATTATCCGTTTACAGGTGTGCCGTAAATTGGTCTCTAGAAATAAAGCACCAGCATGCTATAAGGAGCAGTGTTCCTCGGAAGTTATCACAGGCTGGACTGACCCAGGCCCGAGCACTGTGTCCCATCACCAAGGGAAATGGAAAAAGCAGTAATTGTACATTTGCAGGAAAAGGCTGAGAGACTTTTTATAATTAAAGTCAGCTAAGACATCCCCTGGGAACGGAGTCAGAGCAGAGCAGTGTTCACCCTCTCTGCATGCTGGCCATGTTCCAAGCACCACATGCCAGACACTTACACCCTTATTCACAAGACAGATGCTTCTAGCTGTCAAACGTCTCCCCTAGTGTCTCGGGCACTTAAGGCCAGATCTGTCACTGTACTGACAATAATTTGTCCATTATGTTTACATTCCAGGTGAGTTTAAATGCTAAGTTACACAGTATTGGCTGGTAGAGAGAGAGAGAGAGAGAGAGAGAGAGAGAGAAACCGGAAATAACTGCCAAGCTAGAAAATGTAAACTGAGTCTGAGGTGAGTGTTAGCAATCTTCATTTTCACAAATGAGAAGAGGAAGCCCTGAGAGGGTGTCAGGTGGCATGCCCAGGTAACAGGGCGAGCAGCAGAGCCAGGGACCCCATGGCTGCCATGCTCAGGGTGCACGCCCTTTACCAATAATACTTCCTTTCAAAACAGAGGCACTGAAAGCACAAGGCCACCAAGCCTTAGGCGGTGCTGGAAGAGATTTCACAGAAGTGAGACCTCCTCAGGTTTAAGAAGCTATCTGAAAACTGAGTCAGGGTAGTGCAGCACAAACCAAAAACCCACACGTGCAGGTACAGTAAAGCCTCATGGGCCAACAGCTTATCCGGGAACCACAATACTCAATACTCGGGAGTATACAGATTCAACAAGCTGAGATAAAACAGCAACCAACAGTTGAGGTACAGTATGCACAAAATAATCCACTTGATCTTCAAATGACTTCGAGATGGGCTTTATCTTAAAAGAGGAGGAGCGGTAGCCACACAGCCCTGGCAACCCGAGGTCTACCTCCAGACCCCGCAAATGTACAGGAGAGAACCAATTCCACAGGTTGTCAGTCAGCTGACTTCCACACACCCGGCACAGTCTGCCCTCCCCTCCAGCATGCTCTCTGTCTCTCTCTCTCTCTCTCTACACACCCAACCACACACAATTCAGCCAAACAGAAGTGGAGTCGGAAAGTCCGCCAAGGTCACTGATCGGGTTTTTAAACCCAGAAACTCTGAAGTGCAGAAGACAGGTTTTTAAATGTACAAGCAGGTCGAGACTGGGGACCCCTATCAGCAAACAGATGGGGGGAGATTCAACACCATTTATACAACCAATGAAAGGGACCACGGAAGGATGGACCACACTGCTTTCAGCAGGAAAGTTTAGGGTAGAAGGATGGACATCCAATCATCCCTAGATTCTTACAAGGCCTTTGAAAGGATAGTCTCTGCCTTTTCAGAAATCACAAGACTGGGGGAGGACACCCACCCCCACCCCATACACACCTGCAGGCTTCCGGTTGTACTTGAAAACCTCACAGAACACCAACTTGTTGGGCTCTTTGCGGAAGGGGTCCCGAAACATGGCAACAGGGCTGAGATACATGTCACTGTTGGAGCCTTCGGACTGAAAGGTACTAGATCCATCAAAATTCCACTCAGGTAACTCTGGGCCAAATAAAGACAGAAAATTAATTTTTTAAGGAGACGGATTTATTTTTGCGTGTCCGGGTGTTTTGCTTGCATTTATGTCTGCGCAGGTGTGTGCCTGGAGCCCTCAGAAGCCAGAAGAGGGGGCTGGATCCCCGGCACTGGAGTTACGGATGGTTGTGAGCTGCCATGTGGGTGCTGGGAATTGAACCCAGATCTTCAAGAGCAACAAGTACTCTTAACCACAGGACAGCTCACAACTGTCTGTAACTCCAGTTCCTGGGATTCTCACACCCACTTCTCACCTCTGCCGGCACTGCATACACATGGTACACACACACACACACACACACACACACACACACACACACACACACAATTTTTTTCAGTGTACACACAAGACAGCCAGCCTCTCATTTATCTTTCCATCGCTCAAGATCTACTCTGTCTTTCTGGGAAGTGACATGCATGTGAATGCATCATCATTAGGGGTGACCTACATCATCATTAGGGACGACCTGATGCCTGTGCCCACCTATCCCCATGCCCCTCCGCATCTGAGACTTCCAAGAGCACTGCTTCACAAGCGCCACCTGAGCATCACAGATGATCCCTCTCCGTGTAAGTCTACCGTGCACCAGGTACTCTGGTACCACTTCCAGTGAGTTAGACATCGACAAAAATGCTGGCTCCTTCACTGGGCCATCTCGCCTCCCTCCCTTCTCTCATCCCTCACTGGGCCTGACTGTCGTAGCTCAAGCTGTGCTCTTACAGATGAGCAGACAGCTGTTCCCCTACCACTTGTTCCTTTTCCTACCGTCTCAGAGGCCAGTTTGTCTCTCCAGTTACCTTTGAGTTCCTGAAGGCAGAGACCCGAGGACCTACCCCAATTCTGCCAAGTAACAAGGACACAATCCATGCTGTCACCCGAGTTACCCATTCACCCAAACAGCAACAGCTCTAGAGGGGCAACTCATCCTAAACCAGGTAGATGGTGACAGCCACCCTTCCCCGAAGAGGGACAGCTGTGCTTGCTTGTTCGTTCTATTCGGAAAAATAAAGGCCACGACTAAAATAAAATAGGTCTCAGAAGTACATCTAACTCATCATCTGAAAGTTTTTATAAGCACCCCCAACTAAAGACAAATGGCCAGTCCTAGAAAAACGACTTTGGAGCATGTGCTCTGCATCCAGAATTCCACCGTAGAAGTACTAAACACAGCACTCAAGAGGGTCTCTAACAGTGGTTCTCAACCTGTGGGTCGCAAGCCCCTCGAGGGTGGTCAAACACCCCTTTCACAGGAGTCCCTAAGAGCATCATCCCAAACCACAGATATTTGTATTACGATTCATAACAGTAGCGAAAGACGTCAGCAGAGGCTGGGGGTCACCCCAAATATGAGGCACCGTATTAAAAGTATCAAAGCATTATAGAAAGGTTGAGGACCACTGCTCTATAAACTAGATCGCACATTCCAGTTACAACAGCTCTTTCAAGCGAGCTTCCTGGAGCTGGCCAGGTTAGCAGTACTCCAACCTCCCACCCCCTACAGATATGACCCATTTTTTTTTTTTTTTCTTCAATGTACCAGCCACACACAAGATTCCGTCTAAATAAAGGCTCCCATTGTTGCTCTGCCTCCAGACGACGCAGCGGCTTACGGGTGACTGACTGAGAGGTCTGAAAAGCCCGGCTTCTCAAAGGCTTTGCCAACAGAACAGAAGGAAGGTCAAATCTAGGGCTGCCTGCCCACCTCCAGGCACGTTCTGCTCCTGCCCCTGCTCACCTTCCACACACTTGGGCTCACAGTCCAGGGTGCGGGTCTTACAACGCAGGCCTTCTCCGGTACCGTCCACCCAGATATACATGGCTTGCACTTTCTCACCCTGGGGCAGGGACATGTACATTTGCTTGATGCCTTTGTTCAAGTGGGAACTTGCTGAGGTGGCCATGGTGGAAGGTGTTCTGGAGAGACAAAAGTCCTTTTATTAACATCTACCCAGAGGGGATCCCCTGCAGGAATGTCTTAAGAGGCATGAGAACCGGGAGTGTGTGGTGATCTCTCCTTTGGAAGTCAACACACTGAAGGGTACAATATTCACTCTGCTTTCAAGAGGTTTAAAGTTTATAATTAGACAAAGATCATCTCCCTCAGGGTGGGCAAGTTAAGGGATTTTAATACCCCTTAACTTTGAGAAAGGTGCCAAGAGGGAACAAAAAGTTAACAATTAACAGAATGTCTTGATCCACCCAATACAACTACCTTACCGCCATAAAGACTGTGGGGTCTTCCTTTGCCTTCTATTCTTGCAATGGCTTTAATGAGCATACACCCCACCCCACCTGCTAAATTCCTACATTTAGATTATCTGAGACAAGGTCTCACCGTGTAGCCCTGGAACTTGCTATGCAGGCCAGGCCAGGCTCAAACGCAGAGATCTGCCAGCCTTAGCTTCCTGAATGCTAGAATTAAAGGTGTGTGCCGCCACCACACCTCCATAAAGATGAAATAAGGGGACTAGGATTTAAAAGGCTAACATATTCCTGGGAGGAAATTAAAAAAAGACCTGTACTATTTGCCATTACCACGGTGGTAAAAAGTAACGCCATACTCCAAGGAGCACAACACTGCTGACTTTACTTTTTCTGGAGACAGGAGTCTCTACATAGCCCTGGCTGTCTTGGTACTGACTATGCAGATAGACCAGGGTCTATCACAGAGATCCACCTGAGTCGGCCTCCGGAGGGCTGGGATTAAAAGCGTGCCCCTCAACTGCTGACTTTTCACTGGTGTGATGAAAAGTCATTACTCCACAGTCAAACTCCGACTTCAATGTAAAAACGGCAGTATTTGAAGATTTCACTAGGTGGTATTTTCTGGTAAGTAGAAAATTCCCACTTCTAACAAAGAGGTGGGGCAAGACTAACAGGCCACAGGAGTGGGAGAAAAAAAAAACCATCTGAGAATCTGAAGCTACAAAACCAGCTTCAACACAAGAGGAAATGTCCCCCCTCCCTAATCGCCCAGGATGGCTGGAAAGGGAACATATTGTTCTCCAATGACTTGGGCAACTTTCTCAAGTACAGTGGCAAAGTTTCTACGGGCAACTGTCCATGTTTGCCCAAGTGAAAACAACTGCTTCTCCCTCCAAAAGCCTCACCCTTCCCTTGGGGAACAGATGAAGCTCCGTGGTCAAGTCCTACAGAGAAGTAAAACCTCTGCCTGCACCGCCCTTAGAGACCAGGACTGCGATTCTGGATGGCCTTCAGCTTACACCTATCCCCCTCAGCCTTTGAGTTACACATTCAGCATTAATCAACTGTTAGGGGAGCCTGGCTTCCTCCTCCAACCCTTTTCCTCGAGACCAGCTGGGTGCCAGCCACCTAGTGTATATTGTACAAAATGAGGCCAAGTTCACATGGAATAGGTTCGGAAGTGCTGAGTAGTTTCTGCTGTTACCAGCTGTACCGGGGTCCTTCTCCCTGCCCTTTTACTCACCCTAGCCACAGAGAATTATATGTACTTGTGGGGTTGCCCTCTCTAGACCTCCTCTTTCTAGAGCTGTGTTCGTGCCTCTCCTCGGCCTCGATATCTCGCTGGTCCAAGCAACGTTGCTTTCTGGGCGAGGGCGATGGAGTGGGGGACCCAGAGCGTTCGGAAGGGGAGGTGCTGGAATAAGGAGGCTGGTGGGATTTAACCTTAACCCGCGATTTCTCTCCGGAGTTCACAGAGTAGGCAACGAAGCCGAAGCAATTGGCAGGGGACTCTGAGGACCCAGAATCTCCATCTTCTTCATCATCTATAGAGGGTTTCTTAGAGGATTTGCGGCTGGGGGAGGATCCCCGCTTCCCGCCCCCGGAGGAGTTGGGGTAATCCACTTTGAGAGCAGCCCTTTCCCACTGAAATGTCCGGAAAGTCGGCGCCCCGACCCTCGGGCCCGCGTTGACCTCAAGGCCTCTCCCAGGGGGCCATACCCCGCGAGGGCAGAGGCCGGGTGGAGAGTGGGGCGACCGCGGGAGGCACCGCGCGCCGCTGCTGCCTCCGCCCGGCCCGGTGTCTCCACTGCGGAGCCCTCGGGCCACTCCGGGGCCCTAGCTCTCCATTGTTCGGTCATACTGTAAAAAGGCTCAGGACCCCGCGTTGGGAAGCCGGCGAGTGGCGCCACCACCACTGAAGACCACCGGCCTCAACCAGACCACCCACAGCGTGACGACGCCCCCCCCCACCAAAAAAAAAACGCGCCGCCCAGGAAGAGAGGATCGAGGCGCCTGCGCCCACCAAGGGACTGAGTGCGTTCCCGCGGGGACCACCCGGCCGCCCGATCCGCGAGCCTCCGCCAACCCCAAACCCCGGGATGCCCGCCTCCCGGGGCGGCGCCTCCGGCCGCGAGCGGAGAGCGGATCAAAACAACCCGCGACCCCGCCCTTCCCCGAGCTTGGCCCACAGCTCGCTCCCCGACGGCCCAGCAGAGCCGGTCCCGGCCGCACGCTGCAAGCACGCGGGAGGCGCGAGCGCGGCACCCCGGGCCGCGCAGCTGCAGACTGGACATGGGAGGTAGAGTGGGGACGCCACTGCCCGGGCCGCCGGGCCATGCACCCCTCCGTGCGCTTACCTGAGCGGCGGCCGGCGGGATGATTGATGGACGGGGTGGGCAGGCCGCGAGAGCGAGGCGAGGAGAGCGGAGTGACGGAGATCGGTTGTCGGGCTCAGCAGCTCCGCTCTACTCCCATTCTCGGCTCTGCAGGGACGCTGCCTCCTCGGTACTTTTTATTGGCAGCCCGTGCCCGCCCCGCGGCGCTCTGATTGGCTGGCCCAGGCCAGGAAACCCGCGCCCATCAGCTGCTGCGCGCCGGGGGCCCGAGGCCATTGGCCGAGGAGCCGTGCGGGAACCGCGGGGTGGGGCGAGCGAGACCGAGAAGAAAGAAAGAGAAAGGGGAGTGGGGGAGGGGACGCAGCGGCGGCTGAGCGGGGTCCGGGGCCGAAGGTGCTGGAAGGTTTTGCAGCCTGCGTTCTTGAGCGACCTCTGGACTCTCCGACCCCGGCTCTTGCTGCCTAACGGTGCAAAGGTTTTCCAGGAGAGTTGTAGATGAAAAGCCAGAACCCCAGGACCGAATTTTTACCCTTTTGTTTGTTGAGCGAGATCTTGGGGGCGGGCTGGGTTGGGGGGAGCCAGGGAGCCCTGGTCAGGCCTGGAGAGAGACGTGTTTCTCAAAGCCTGGAGGAGCCTGTCTTCCTGAGTGGATTTGGGGAAGTGGTCAGGACTGTGATTTCATGGTTTAAACACAAGTGCATTGTTTCCCTAATTCCATGCAGAGGATTCTGGAGATCCCTAGACAGGAGACCTGTTTGATGTCACCTCGTTCCCGCCATAGGCAAGTCTCTCAGCCTTTCAACCCCCAGATTCCTCAGATCTGCAAAATACAGCAGATGGAAGGACTTTGAGAGCTGTCCACCAGACTTGAAGTCAGGGTGCACACCGCTAAAGGTGTGCTTTTCCTTTGCTAAAGGAAAGCTGTTCTTTCCAGGACCCCTTTGAAACCAAACATTTAAGATTCCCCTAAAGAAATGTTAACCCCGGGAGACAATGGCCAGTTCTAGGCCAGTCTGCTTACAAGACAGGTTGTTCCAGGACAACCAGGGGTACACAGAGAAACCCTGTCTTGGGGGGGAAAAAAAAGATGAAAAAAATTTCCTTGCTTCTGCTTCTCAAGTTACTTACTGTGGTTTTTTGTTGTTGTTTTGTTTTGTTTTAAGTCAGAAAAATTAGTGTCTTTTCCCTGTCTTAACCCTGCCGTGATGGCTGAGATAATGTGTGACTACTGTAATGAGATATACTACAAAGTGTGCAGAAATTACCTGTAAGAATAGACATGGCCCCATGCTGTTATTAGTACTGTGTCCTGAGCATTCTGTTTTAGTGCGTGAAATCCGTGTGGGCTTTGTTAATCTTTCAGGAGCCCTGGTATTTGAGATTTTCTGTTTAAATACCAGAAATCTATGCTCTCGGTGCCTTTGGGAGAGGAAAGGAAGAAGTTTGTTTTTCTGGTTATGTTTTGCACCACAAATATGAAAAAGAAATGTTGCCTGTGACCACACACACATAACTTGGCTTCCTGGGTCAACCTCCATCTACTCCCTTTAAGTGCGTCTAACACTGTGGCACACAGCAGCAGCATTCATCTCAGATGGGGGGTTTTGGTGTGCTTTGGACTGGAAAGGCACCTTGCAAATTCCATGTCATTATTCGGTGCCGTGTGAAGCATTTTACGGTGATGTTCGTCAGTAGAGGGCCTTCAGATCAGACAAACCCAAGATCAGATCCGGACCTCACCTCTGGTCCGCCTTGATTAATAGCCAAATGACTTAGCCACACAAAGCCTCAACCTTAGCATATAGAGCAGGGATTACAGGGGAACCTGGAACGTGAAGAGTGTTTAGAAAACACCAGTTATCATTTTATAGGTCAATCTGAAGAGAATGGACCATTTCTTTCTCCATGATTACTCCGTGGTGTGTGTGTGTGTGTGTGTGTGTGTGTGTGTGTGTGTGTGCGCGCGCGTGTGTGTAGGCTAGCATCGGCATCTTTCTCTATCACCCCCCCCCTCTTTTTTTTTTTGAATGGGGTCTTTCACGACTTAGCTAGACTTGCTAGCCAACGATTCCCAGGGATCTTTCTGTGTCTGCCTTCTCAGGGCTTGGATTACAGTTACTTGGCTATTGAACCCGACTTTTTACATGGTGGCTGGGGACTGAACTCAGGTCCTCCTCCACCAGCTAAGCCACCTCACCACCCCTCCATGAACACTCCTGAAATGCCGTATCTTGCTGCACCATTACTTTAATAAAGGACGTGAAGTTTAATCCCAGTATCAAGGCCGGCTGTCTTCCCGTTGCCTTCTTATAGTTCTTCAGCTTAGGTGGTTGGAAAAGGGATCAGAAGAAGGGAGAGATGATGTTCTTATTTTGGAAAAGACTGGCTTCCAGGTACCAGCTGCCAAGTAGAAACCAGTGCCTTCAGCACTCTACCCACAACCAAAGGAGGGACAGAGAACGTAATAGAAAATGCAATATTCAGCAGCTAATGTGTTCTTCTTCTTCGCTTTCTTGCATTTCTGCCATGCGAGTGCCTACTTCCCTTGCTAGACATATTAACCTCCTTGGCTGCTTATTCAATTTCATAGTCCCCAATAGTGTCCAGACTGAGTGGTCAATAAACATGTATTGACCGCACTGAAATGTCAGCGGCAGCATCAAAAGAACACGTGCTCTGTTTCCAAGAATAGAAGTGGATTTGCTTTGATCCTTTCATATGACCAGGGACATCTCACGTGACCACGGACTTTCAGGGGTAAACAAGAGGCTTTGCCCCCTTGGTCAGCCCCTCATATATTTAAACCAACCAAAGCAGGACCCAGACAAGTTCAAGGACCGGACTGGGGAACTCTGAGTGTCCTGTGGAAGAAAAAGCAGAACAGAGTCCCCTGGTCAGGTTGCCCTCAGAAAAGTGACCTGTACTTTTAGAGAAGTTAAAAGAACAGCCTGTTTCATCCCCTTTGACTTTGCCGGGTCTCTGTCCTTTGTTCTTCCCTAAATTGCCACCACCCCCATTTCCTACCCCCTCCATGAAAGCAGCAAGATGGCTGATCCCATGAACTTTTCAGTCGAGGCCCACACAGTATCAAAGCTAACTGGGGGTCTGGTGGCGAGTGCTTTGAAGTTGAGGTTCTTGCTGAGTGGAGTTCCTCTGTCCCAAGGGTGGGTGGAGTGGGAGAGCAATATTGCAGGGCAAGAGTTTGGACCAGATTTGCAGAAATAACCCCGAACTAAACACCTCTCGTTAGTGGTGTTTGGCCGCCTACACTGTGGCTTTGTTTTGGGTAGGCCCTTCCCTATGAGTTCTTCAGACTTCTTTATCTTCTGTCTGAAGCTCTTACTCTAGAGTCTTGAGTACAAGCCTGCCTGATTGCCTTGCATTCACGATGCCAAGCTTAGGATATGGCTCCAGTCAACCCAAACCTTGAACTATAACATGCTGTCGGGAAGTGGAGTTTGCTGCAGACCTGGCCAATTTTAGCAGGCCATCGGTGAAAACTTTCAACCAAGCTAAAGAAATATGGTGGGGAACTGGAGTGGCAGTCACCCTGAAAACCAAACCCAGAATGTAACCTGTTTTGTTTTTTAGAAACCCAAATTAGTTCTGGCCAAAAAAATAAGAGCCTGACAGATGTCAAGCCAAGCTCAAACAAGAGAATAAAGGGCAGGAGAGCACTGGGGGTGGCGAGCATTCCTGGATCCTGTAAAGTGTGTCTTTCTGGGAAGTTGTATTAAGTCAGCCTTTCAAATCCCTCTCTATGCAGTGAATGAAGGAAAGAGCAGATTACACTTGAACTCAGTAACCTGAGACCGAGTGTGAGAGGGGCTTTCTTACATCGCGTAGTTACTTGATACTCTTCAGTTCCAGAGAAGAAATTCAAAGTCAGAAGTCAACTACCTTTCACCTGACTGGAGTCTGCCAAATACTCAATGAAGATGTTCACGGAGAGGGAGCACCCCATTTCTCAACCTGCACACTAGGGTGGAAGGGCTGAGTCTGTCTGAGCTCTTCCTCAAATCTGACCTCGGCTAGGAAGAACCAAGTTCGTCTATCTGACGTCATGGGAAAGGGAGTCCTGCTGGACTAGGAAAGCCACAGATACAGTTCCAGAATTGGACCTTCATGTCCTTCTAGCCTACTGGGTTTTTCAGTTCTGAAGGTGAACCCAGGCCCTTGGGCATGCTAGACAAGTACTCTATTGCTGAACTGTATTCCCAGCCCATCTTTTTAGCTGTTATTGTTTGTTTTTTATTATTTATTTTTATTCTTATGTGCATTGGTCTTTTGCCTATGTGTATGTCTGTGTAAGGGTGTCGGGTCTCCTGGAACTGTAGTTACAGACAGTTGTGAGCTGTCATGTGGGTGCTGGGAATTGAACTCGGGTCCTCTGGAAGAGCTGTCAGTGCTCTTAACCATTGAGCCATCTCTCCAGTCTTTTGTTTTTGTTTTTTGAGACAGGACTTCTGTGCGACTCTGACTGTCCTGGAACTTGTTTTATAGACCAAGCTCGCTTTGAACTCACAGATCTGCCTGCCTCTCCCTCCCAAGTGCTGGGGTTAAAGGTATGTGCCACCACCACCCAGCTTACAGGAAGACTGTGTTTTGAGCAAGTTTTCATTTACCATAATCTATCACTAATTAAAAATCGATTAATTTATTGTGTGTGTGTGTGTGTGTGTGTGTGTGTGTGTGTGTGAGAGAGAGAGAGAGAGAGAGAGAGAGAGAGAGAGAGAGAGAGAGAGATGATGATGATGATGATGATGATGATGATGATGATGGGGGGGGGGGGGTCGTCACACGTGTGCATGTATGGAAGTCAGGGGACAACTTCCCGGAGTCAGTTTTCTCCTTCCACTGTAGGTACTGGGGACTAAACTCAAGCTGGCATGCTCGCACAGTGAATGCTTTTATCCACTGAGCCATCTTACTGGCCATACATTTTTTTTTTAATTTCCCAGTGGATATACAGCTCTATCTGTCTTCTCTAGATTGACCTCTAGATGGTTTGGAACCTTTATTGAAGCTCACTTGAAAGTTTAGGGAAAGTTGGTCTGTGGTAGAAAAATTGCTTGGATCAAAATGTGTCCTTTAGTTGGTACTTTTCTCAAAGGACGCCTCAGCGGGACCTACCCACAGCCTCTTATCCCTCACCCCGTTAGCTGTTTGGACCCCTGTTTATTTCATGTTTGTCAAATTTTAACAGGAAACACATCTCCCTATGGTATTTTGAATTCTTGAACAACATTTAGCCTGCTTCTGGACTTTTTCTATCCCCTCTTCTCCTCCCCCATTTCTTTTTAAACTGATTCTCCAAAGGTTGTTTACGGGGGCTGCAGAACCAGGTGCTTGGACCGGGTGATGGTGACATAGCACCCTCTGGTGGAGTCTTGTGAGAATTTCAAACTTCTCCCCAGAAGGCTTGAGTGTTTGTTTATCTTCACTGGCCTCTGTTACATAGTGTGTACATGATAAATTAACAATGCCCAATGCTATGCCTATACCGGCTGTTTGAGAGATATTTTATTCCTATCGCTGCCCTATTACCAGAAGTTTATCATAAAATTAATCTTCAGCTATCCAGAAATGGGCAGCAAACTGTACTTGTGCCTCACCCACATCAGTGTAGGAGGAAGGTGAAGAGAAAAGGACTGTCCGCAAAATCAGTTAGGAAGAGTCCAGGGACCAAGAATAAAGGGGAAACTGATTCAAGGACTTGATCATTGACAGGGCTCACCCTCCGGTCTCACCCTCAGCCCTCACTTGGCTCTGAGCCCAGAAACAAACCAAGCCAACAGTTGAGACTATGCCAGACTCTGTTCTCAGGGCAGCTGGGGTTGGGCAGAAAGTCTAGCATAAACTAGGCCCTTAGGGGTGTCTGTGGTATTTCCACTGTGCCACCTTTACCAGGACCTCTGTCTGGTCCTACCTGTCCTCCCTCCCCCCTTCCCTTCAGTCCTTGTTTAATTTTAGGGACCACTTTCTTCTTCGTTGCCATTAGGGAGGTCTCTGTAGCCTGGGTGATACTGTCATAGACTTGAGTCTGACCCAGGGCTTAAATGGTTGGCTTATCTCTTGTCTCCAGCACGTGGGCCCACAATAGAGACCGTTTTCTAGACTCTCCGTCCAGACGCACTTACAGTAGGAGTGATGATAGTGAGCGCTGGGAGTGTGGCCTGTGGGAGAGTGCCAGCAGCCTCAGGTCCGACCCTCAGGGCTAAACAACCAAAGCCCCGCCACTGACATCAAAAGACTAAACAGTTCGGGCACAGCTTTGGGGTGTTTACTCTCCCCAAGAACAGAGAGAGCAGGCCATGACCAAGAAGATGATGTCAGGCTTTCGGAAGGCTGGAATTGCCCAGGGGTTGGCAGAGCCTCTTACCTGTTGAGCAACACATTTAGAAGGAAGGAGTGCTGGGGGTGGGCAGTGGGACCAGATGAGCCTTTAGTAACCAGGAGTCACACAGTTGGAAGACACAGGAGGAATTGTGCAACTTGGATCCCACAAAAGTCCTTATTCTTCCGAAACCTACATAGTAGTTGGTGAGGAAAAACTCCCCCAGGGAAACTATTTCAAAACCAGGACAAAGACAGATGTGTCAGCGGTTTCGGAAAAATAAGGCAGATTTTCTGTAAGTGGCCCCGGTACTCCAACCAAGAAGTCCTTGTGAGCTCTCAGGAAAAGCTGCCTCGGTGGTGGAAGGGCTTACAGTCTGTATCTACTGACAGACAAAATAGGGACAGGGATGGGAGATGAGAGGGGAAAGCCCCCAAACTCAAGGATGGTGTGTAATAAAGTCCACACGGAAGGGGGCAAAGCCAGCTTCGAAAAACTCGGCATGCTGAAACACGGAGTTCGGAAAGTACCAAGCATGGACACTGAATAAAGGTTGGATTATGCAAATTTATGCTCTTAATAAATTTATTTGGTTAATGACCGCAAAATTTAAAATGAGGTCAATCCGTAAAGATCAGGGGGTCAAAAGAGATCAGGGAACGGGGTCACAAAGAAAGATGGGATTTGCTGGTTTACTTCTGGAATAGGAGTTCCCCCAGCTGGTCTAGAATTCGATATGTAACCAAGTATGACTTTGAACTCTTGATCCTCCTGCCTCCATCAGGAGAACTGGGATTGCAAGTATGCCCCCACCATGCCTGGTTTTTGTGGTACTGGGAATTGAACCGAGGGCAATGCGCATGCTAGGCAGGAATTCTGTCAACAGAGCTCTGATACCAGCCCAAAAGAATATAATCTCAACCTGTGTCATACCCACCTTTAATCCCAGGACTCAGGAAGCAGAGACAGGCTGATCTCTTGAGTTTGAGGCCGGCCTGGTCTACATATATATTGACTTCCAAGCCAGCCAGGGCAATGTCTTGAGATCCTGTCTGAAAAATAAAGTAATAAAAAGATTCGATCTACTTTTCAGAATGAGACAACTGATTCTAGTTTTGAGCTGTGAGCAATCTTTATTCCCTCGGGTGAAGGCAATCAACGGTGCCCAGAGAAACAGCTCTGACCATAGAATTCTGGGCTCTGGCAGAGACTCCACCCTTGAAAGCCATTCTGTTGCATGTTCTTCCCCTGGCTTGGCTTCTTCCCTCCCTCTTAGAAAGTCCCATCAGCATCCTTTGTTGGGACTTTTCATCAACTTGGATGAACTTGGAACAAACTGCTGTCCCATAGGGCCATTACCTTCACCAAGAAACAAAGGGTGCATTGCAGGTGCCCAAGAGAGCCCACAGGAGGAAGATGAATGGCGAATACGCACAGATGTTCTAGGCCCTGTCACTGCAAGAATTCCTTGAAGGGAGAAGAGCCTGGCCATCCTTGTCCTGCTGCTCTGCATCCTGCAGCAGCTGGTAAAGTGTTCCTGAAGAGCTCTCATGATACAGCACTTTCTTGGAAGCCCCCAGCCTCAAGCTGGGCCTGTAATAATGATGCCACAATGAAGAGAAACCATAGACTCCCACCAGGCATAAGGCATTGATCATGACATGCCAGCAGAAGAAGGTGGTGACAAACATGATGTCACTGATGTCATCATCCTCCCACGGGTAGCCAGAGACCGGTCTAAAGAGAATGAAACCTGCCTGCATCAGCCACGTGCCCATCGTCAGGAACAGGAAGGTCTCTATCATCCAGAGGTGCAACATCTCAGGAGCCCACAGCTCGGCCGTCAACACCAGCATCAGCAGGAACACCACCAAGATGAGGAGAGAGTGGACCTGCAGCTCCACCCCAGATGAATCCTTAACGTGGGACACCAGCAGCAGCAGGAGCACATAGATGGCCAGGACCGTGGAACCTCTTTCTAGGACCACCCACCTCTGCCGCAGCACGTTCTTGCTCACGATTTCTGTACAACCGTCAAGGGTGAGGAGGACGAACATGGTGAGGTGCTGCCACTGCTTGGGGAACATAAACCTTGGTGGCATCTCTTTGCTCATTAATTTCAATCCTCCTTCAACAGAGGTGATCTCATAAACTATGAGGAAGGCACCAGTCACTGCCTTCAACCAGCCTGTATGGGCTATTTGCCACAGCCTGGCCCATCTTCCCTTATTCTTAGAAAGGGATGAAGGATACAGAAGAGAGTCACTGAATATCATAGCTCTGGAGACTACTATTGCCTGATACAATCCATATAAGGCCAGAAACAAGCCTGGATATATATGACCAATAAAGTCTCCCATTGAGCTACTAATCTAACAAAATGCAAAACTCAGGTACAGGCGCCTCGGGTTCTAGGGTTTGGGAAGAACTGCCTTCCACTTAGTTTTATCATCTCACTTCACCCACTGCTCTCCCACAGAGAGGAAGCATTTCTTGAGACAAGCCTACACATTGGGTGGAAATATGGCTTCATTATACCGTTCCACTCTGGCGCACTGAGAACTGAGTGGGCTTTCAGGGGTTCCTCCCCATGCCTGATGAGGGGCTTTAGCTCATGCTTGTCCCTGGCTCAAGTTGCCTTCCTCTCAAGCAGCCTGGTGCTCAAGTGAAAGGCAGGGAAGGGGTGGTGGGGTGGGGTGCACTGGTTCTCAGAGAAAGCCTGTGCTTGCCCAGACTCCCAAGCATGCTGTAGTAATTCTCAGACCTAATCTCAGACCTCACTTCAGTCCATCTGTACAGGCTGATGCTCTTGTTCTGAGCACAGACATTTAACCACTGAGATATGAGACCATATAACAGCATCCACCTGGCTTTTCTAGTCTTCCATAGTAGACCTATCTTAAAGACCTCTGAGAAATTTCCTCTCCTCCCCTCCTTCACGACTGTCACCAACCCATCACCATCTTTATGGCCTGGAGAAAAACCTGCAGAGGTGCATTCTGGGTTGTTTTTAGGGACCGTGATGGTGTACATGTGCCAACAAAACTAAGTTTGAATGATGTTTCCCAGAATTCCCTTCCTCACATGGCTCCAAGCAAAGGTTGGCTACAGGTAGAGTTTTCACAAGGGTCCTTTCTAGTGGGACAGGAAATAGTCCACCTGCTTCATTTCTCTCTGATACCAATTATCTGCCAGTTGAGCATGGGCAGAGGGGATTGTGGGGGTCAAGGTACAGGGAATAGTATGTGTGCAGTACACAAATGGTTCTGCATTTACTGCACATGGAATAGGAGTTTTCTAGGGAAAATGGGTGTACTGAGAGATTGGGAACTTCATCAATGATCACATGCCAAGCTGACATTCATCTTCTGCCTAATCACTCATGCTGTCAGCAAAGGCAGAGCAAAGGCTACCATATCTGTGTGCTCACAGTATCCAGTTGGGGAGGAAGGACAATTATACCCACATCACAGCACCGCTCCTGAGCTCTCACTCCTAGCCAAGTATGATTTTCCTGAGAAGCCCGTCACAGTATGACCTCATCTACAGAGCACCAGGCTAGGGAGGTAGTTCACTTGCTAAGGTACTTGCCACACAAGCATAAGGACTTGAGTTCAATTGCCAGAAGCCATGAAAAATCCAGTTATGGTGACATGTGCATGTAATCCCAATACTGTGGAAGCAGAGGCAGCAGATCTCTGGGGTTCTCTGGCCAGTCAGCCTATCCTGCTTGGTGAGTTTCAGGCCAATAACAGAGCATGCCTCAAAAAACAAGATGGATGGTGACCAAGGTGCCACACCGAATATGGCCTTTATGTGCACAAATGCACATGTGCACACATACCCCCATGAACACACATACACACACACACACACACACACACACACACACACACACACACACACACACCACAAAACATCACAGCAACAAAGTGCACGGTAGACGTCATGGTTTGGCGTTGTGATCACAAGATGAGTAGGAGTTATGAGTCTATCCAAGTGCTGAAAAAAAATCCTAAAACAAGACATTCTAGGACAGGACCTCTGTAATCTGTTCTTTCTCAAGGTGGCTTAACGCCAGAAAACTGAGAGGTCTCCCTCTGCCCTTAAAGATGGCAGTAACCCAGATTGCTTCTGGCTGCTGAGGAATTTGGTAGGCTGAGGAATGCATGTGAAAACAAAATGGGAAAATAAAGCTTCATTCTGCCTTCTAAATGGACCTGCTTTGCTTATTTGAGTTTAAAACTGTGTAGTGGAAAATCATTGTAGGTAAATCAAGGAAATTATATAAGCAAAGAGAACATTGAAAATTGCCCATAGGGCAACCCAGTTTTATTTTCCAGCTCCCCTCCTGGTTCCAGGGAATTGTTTCTTCTCAAACTTTTCTTGCTTTCTTTTAAAAGACAAACTAAAGATCATCTGTAATCTTACAGCCTGATGTGACTCTTGTAACCAATGAGGTGGCGATTCATACTTAAAGGCACAAGCAAGTGGGAAATACATTTGTCTATTCATCTGGAAGTCAGAATTTGGATTCTACTATTAGCTTTCTCTTGAATGTCTGACAGGGTTCTACTATGCAGTTCTGGCTAGCCTGGGACTCAATATGTAGACCAGGGTAGCCGTGAACTCACAGAGATCCCCTGCCTCTGCCTTCCAAGTGCTGAGATGAAAGAGGAGGAGGAGGTAGATTGGACTTCATTTCCTGTAGAGTGGAAGTGAGAAGGTATAGATGCTGCTGGGTAGAGGGGAGTGGTGAGTACTCCCTTTGGGTGAATGAGCCAAACACCAAGCATGGTAGAGCTGAATGCTCAGCAGGAGGCCACTCAAAGGGAACAATCTACAGTGATACATCTGAAGTTGACCAGGGGAGGCCACTCTGGGCTCTCTTCAGTTCTTGGATTCACCCTGGAAGAAGGATAGGACTCCTTGTTCTGCATATCATTGGCCTGTGGGGATAGGGTTCCATGTGGCCCCAGCTTGCCTCCAACTCCAAATATAATGAAGAATGGCCTTGGACTTCTGATCCTTCTGGCCTTCTCCTGTGTACTGGGGTTGCAGGCATGCAGCACCTGGCCAGGGTTATGTGCTGGCTGGAGAGTAAACCCCGGGCTTCATCAATGTCAGGGAAGCACTTTTCCAGCTGAGCCACATGCCCAGCCCTGACTGTTTCTTCACATCTGCTAGGGCTGTGGTAAGGTGGGGTGTCAGAGCTGACCCCATCCTGCACTCATTTCTCCAGCTGTGCCTGCAGCTGTGAGTGGAGCACCAGTGGTCAGAAGAAGAAAAAGAGCAGCCCTGACCTCACAGGAGTGAGAGGCTGAAACTGGCATTTGTGCAGGGCAAGTCATTCTCTGAGGTTCCCATCTGGGGTGATCAGATCTCCACTCTGGCCAAACATCGGAGGATACATCCTGTTATTAACACACGAGCATCCTGATCTCAGGGCTTCAAAGACAGGACTTGTCCATCCTACAGCAGACCTGCCCACGGGAGTGTGGAAGGAAGCTGAGTGTGGTGAACCATTAGCAAAACTTCCAGACGGCTGCACAGTCTGAGGACATGGAGTGACTGCAAAGGTGTTCAGCTGGGAAAACTAGACTTAACCACAGAAGCCTGTGAAGGTCTCTCATAGTCTTGCCGCTCCACACTTGGACTCAGCAGAGTCTCTCAGTGGCTGGTGCCGTTTGTTCTAACTACATCACGAGATTCCAGAGTGAGCAAGAAGGAACTCAGGAATGACTGACCCCTGGAGTCCCATTGTGTGTGCGAAGGCATGTAAAGAACTGGGTGATGTAGTTCTTGTCCCCAGAGGGCTTACAATTTAGCTGAAAGCACAATGCATTTATACATATATACATACATACTCTAACATGTCTAACCCATCTCTACAACGTAGAATTAAAATACTTTCTAACCACCACATTAGTTAAATATAAAAGATAGAATTAGTGGGATATTATTATAGTTTTACTTTACTTTAAAAAATTTTTTAAATGTTTTATATATTTTGACCATGATTTCCCAGCCCCCCCAATTCCTCCCAGATCCTCCGCACCTCCCTACCCACCCACCCAACTTCATGTTCGTTCTCTCTCTCTCTCCCTAGAAACAAACAAAAAATGGAAATTAAACAAAAGATAGAAATTACCAAAACAAAGCAAGGTCCACAAAACACACACACACACACACACACACACACACACACACATATGGGATTCTGTTTGTCTTGGCTGACTAGTCCTAGGCATGGGGCCTGCCCTGGAGTGTGGTTGATACACCCAATGACACTCCATTGGAGAAAACTGACTTTTCCTTTATCAACAATTATCAGTTGCAAATAGCTTCTTGGATGGTGGTGGGACCTCCACATCTACTCTCCCTTCTCAGTGCTGGGACCCTATCTAGCTTAAACCTGTGGAGGTCCTGTGCATGCTGCCTCAGTCTCTATGAGTTTATATGTGCATCAGTCCTGTTGTGTCTGAAAGATGCTGTTTCCTTGAAATTCTCCATCACCTCTGACTCTTAATCTTCTAGTCCCCTCTTCTGTACAAATCCCTGAGCCTTGAGATGAGGGGTTGATAAGGACATCCAAAGTCTCTCATTCTCTGCCCATTGTCCACTTTGGGGTGTCTGTGTTAATTCCCATCTACTGAAAGAAGACTCTCCTGTGATGAGGATTGGTCCATGCACAGATCTATGGGTATAGCAATATGCCATGCGTTGTATTTATCATATATTTCATTATAAACATTATTTCAACAAGTATCTAATATGTAAATTAATAACTGATTAATATTGATCTTATAAACTCCAGTACTTCTATTTTATACTCATCACACATCCCAAGACAGGTTAGGTCACAGTATTCCAGTTACATGTGTGACTGAGTAACTGTGCTCACATGCTAGTGACCAATATGATGTCTGGCCAAAGTGGGGATCTGATCACTTCAGACAGCAGTCTCAGAGGGTGACATGCCCTGAACACCGGCCAGTTCCAGCCTCTCATTGTTGTGATCTCAGGGCTGCTCTTCTCCCCGATCTGATGTGCTAGAGAGTCAGTCAGCCTCCTGGGAGAAAGAGCCAGGTGGAAAGGAGTGGAAGGTGGCTTTGCAGGACCAGCAGGAGCTAAGCTGTATGGCTCATTTCTGTTGAAGAAATGAGGCTTATGGAGAGGAACCATAAGTCCTGATTTGTTTGGAGCAATTTGGCTTTTTCATGTTTTCTCAGTTCCCCAACTAAAGAGTGATTTTTTTTTTTTTTACTCTAAGTGTCCAGTTTTCAATAATCAATCATGTGGTCACTTTAGTTGTAAGTTACAATTCAATTATGTCACTATTTAGATAGAGGCAGAGCTTACAAGAGGGTATGGTGAGTCAAGTCACCACAATCATCAGCACAAACAAACAAGCAGACAAACCCTCTCTTCTGACTGTCCTACAGTATTCAACGTTTATGATATAAATAAATCTCTTTTCCTTTAAACCGTTTCTCCTCAGGTATTTGTCACAGAGGTAAAAATGGGACTAATATTTTAAATTGGAACCAGAAGTGGGGTCTTTTCTGTGACTGTCAGGCCATGTGGACAGAAGCTTTGGAACTGTTTAAAAGAAGGATTTAGAAAATTTTAAGGATAAGGGCTAGATAAACTTAGAATGCATTTAGCTCAGCTTAATGGGTAATTCTAGTGGGAGCTCCAAGGACAAGGACAGATAGGAATATGATGGAGTACTCTGGGATTACATATGGGAATGAGAAAAGTAATTGAAAGAGCTGGCCATGTACCTCCATGGTAGAGTACCTAACCTGTACAAAGTCCTGGGTTGACCTTCCCCCTCACCACAACATGAGGACCACCAAAGATTCCTGTTCCTATGATACATCTGCTTTCATCTTTTTTCTTTCTTACCTTACCTTTCTCATTGTTAATATTTGAATGCATCTATATATTCTGAAAATCTTTTTTTGCTTGTGTGTATGATGAAAATATTTCTTCATAGTGCCCTGTTATCATTTCGTTGTGGGACAGGGTCTCATGATGTAGCATAGATGGCCCTCAGACTCACCATGTAATCCAGGCTATTCTCAAACTTGCAAGCATTCTGCTCTGTGTCCCAAGTATTATAATTGCAAATATGTGCTACCCCACCCATCTCTGACCATAGGAGATTTAAATAAAGGTGTTTTTCTTTGATCCTTTTGTGATTATTATATTTATTGTCCATTACATATATTTATCAAAACTTATACAATTCATTTTTAAAATACATTTATTCGTTGGCAGTACATACATGATGTAATGTGTTTTTGATCATAGTCAGACATCCCAATCCCCTCCCCTCATGTCCCTCCAGCTGCCTCTGGATTTCTTCTTCTCTCCAACACTTTCATCTCTTCCTACATTCAGTGTATTTTCTTGGTAACTCATTTTCATTTTCCACGTGAACAGGGAAGCAAATGGACCTAGTACTTACATGATGTATGCTTTAGGTTGTTGAGGGTAGTTCCACAGAGCAGCCAGCCACTACATTTAGAAGGGGCAGAAAAGGGAGCTCTGGAACTCATCTTTGTTAAGCATAAACTATATAGAAAATGTGTTTTTAAACTAATTGTTAGTTGGTATAGAAAACAATGGTTCCTGTATAAGTTTTCATATAGAAACATCACTGTACTTGGCTCACATTTATCCCTTAGGCCCCACCATTCCTCCTCCTCCTCCTCCTCTCTTGTCCCTTCTTCCACCCAAATGGCTCCCCTAAGAGGCTCTATCACAGGAATTAGGTAAAGATACACTACAATATGTTGTTTACTTGTAAGGGGTCCGCATTTCAGGTGTTGAGACAAAACCTTCCCAAAAGAAAGAATATGAGACACAAGACAAGGAAGAATGTGTGTCGCATGGGTAAAGGCACAGTGGGTGCACAAGAGTTGCTACCAAGATCCAGATCCAGGTAGTGTGAGAATTTTGTGGAAGGGACCGTCTTGGTAATAGCAGTATAGGGGAAGCTGATGGTAGGTTTAGAATAACTGTGGTAAAAATGTGACTAGCAGCAGGTTTGGTTGTTTGGGAAAAACTAACATGTGAGATAAAGTAAATTATATTCTAGGAAATTCTGGTTGAGCTGGTCATAAATCATCACTAAACATTTTGCTTTGCCTGGACTAGGGGTCAAAAATAAGAAATATGGTAGGGCTGCATGAAAATTTTGTTCACATAAACTTTAAAAAGTAAGATTGGAGTGTATTAATTCTTACTTTGTATTGGAAACAATGCTAATCCACCCACATTAAATATACATATGTGGCATTCTAATAGTAGAGTAGTGAATTGTACTATATGTTATGCTGTTTCCACACAGCACCATCAGGTTAGTTGACCAACTGGGACACCCACCACTGCCATTTCCATTTGTGGGAAGTCTTTATTCCTTGGCTAAAACTTGGTGGTGGAATCCCTGCTGAACTCTGATGTCTTTTCAGGTTTCCTGCTGTATCTTCCCATGTGGGTAGTTCCTGTAGCCCACTCTTCTTGGTCCTCTTAGTCCACTCTCTCCTCTCACTTCTCCTGACCAGCATCATCTAGGCCATGTCACTTTTCCAGGTCATCCTTTTACCTCCTCAACGGTTACTGAGTCAGTGATGGGCATAATAGCTGGGACTACCTACCATCCTCCAGGGCCATTACCTTCACTGAGAAACAAAGGATGTATTACAAGTGCCCAAGAGAGCCCACGGGAGGAAGATGGGGTGGTTTATGTATTCTAGGCCCTGTCACAGGCAGAGCTCTTTGAAGGGAGAAGAACCTGGTCATCCTGGTCCTGCTGCTCTGCATCCTGCAGCAGCTGGTAAAATGTTCCTGAAGAGCTCTCATGATACAGCACTTTCTTGGAAGCCCCCAGCCTCAAGCTGGGCCTGTAATAATGATGCCACAATGAAGAGAAACCATAGACTCCCACCAGGCATAAGGCATTGATCATGACATGCCAGCAGAAGAAGGTGGTGACAAACATGATGTCACTGATGTCATCATCCTCCCACGGGTAGCCAGAGACCGGTCTAAAGAGAATGAAACCTGCCTGCATCAGCCACGTGCCCATCATCAGGAACAGGAAGGTCTCTATCATCCAGAGGTGCAACATCTCAGGAGCCCACAGCTCTGCCGTCAACACCAGCATCAGCAGGAACACCACCAAGATGAGGAGAGAGTGGACCTGCAGCTCCACCCCAGATGAATCCTTAACGTGGGACACCAGCAGCAGCAGGAGCACATAGATGGCCAGGACCGTGGAACCTCTTTCTAGGACCACCCACCTCTGCCGCAGCACGTTCTTGCTCACAATTTCTGTACAACCGTCAAGGGTGAGGAGGACGAACATGGTGAGGTGCTGCCACTCCCTGGGGAACATAAACCTTGGTGGTATCCCTTTGCTCATTAATTTCAACCCTCCTTCTACACAGTTGAGCACATAAATTATCAAGAGGGCACCAGTCACTGCCTTCAACCAGCCTGTATGGGCTATTTGCCACAGCCTGGCCCATCTTCCCTTATTCTTAGAAAGGGATGAAGGATACAGAAGAGAGTCACTGAATATCATAGCTCTGGAGACTACTATTGCCTGATACAATCCATATAAGGCCAGAAACAAGCCTGGATATACATGACCAATAAAGTCTCCCATTGAGCTACTAATCTAACAAAATGCAAAACTCAGGAACAGGCGCCTTGGGTTCTAGGGTTTGGGAAGAACTGACTTCCACTTAGTTTTATCATCTCACTTCACCCACTGCTCTCCCACAGAGAGGAAGCATTTCTTGAGACAAGCCTACACATTGGGTGGAAATATGGCTTCATTATACCGTTCCACTCTGGCGCACTGAGAACTGAGTGGGCTTTCAGAGGTTCCTCCCCGTGCCTGATGAGGGGCTTTAGCTCATGCTTGTTCCTGACTCAAGTTGCCTTCCTCTCAAGCAGCCTGGTGCTCAAGTGAAAGGCAGGGAAGGGATGGAGGGGTGGGGTGCACTGGTTCTCAGAGAAAGCCTGTGCTTGCCCAGACTCCCAAGCATGCTGTAGTAATTCTCAGACCTAATCTCAGACCTCACTTCAGTCCATCTGTACAGGCTGATGCTCTTGTTCTGAGCACAGACGTTTGACCATTGAGATATGAGACCATATAACAGCCTCCACCTGGCTTTTCTAGTCTTCCATAGTAGACCTATCTTAAAGACCTCTGAGAAATTTCCTCTCCTCCCCTCCTTCACGACTGTCACCAACCCATCACCATCTTTATGGCTTGGAGAAAAACCTGCAGAGGTGCATTCTGGGTTGTTTTTAGGGACCGTGATGGTGTACATGTGCCAACAAAACTAAGTTTGAATGATGTTTCCCAGAATTCCCTTCCTCACATGGCTCCAAGCAAAGGTTGGCTACAGGTAGAGTTTTCACAAGAGTCCTTTATAGTGGTACAGGAAATAGTCCACCTGCTTCATTTCTCTCTGATACCAGTTATCTGCCAGTTGAGCATGGGCAGAGGGGATTGTGGGGGTCAAGGTACAGGGAATAGTATGTGTGCAGTACACAAATGGTTCTGCATTTACTGCACATTGAATAGGAGTTTTCTAGGGAAAATGGGTGTACTGAGAGATTGGGAACTTTATCAAAGCTGACATTCATCTTCTGCCTAATCACTCACGCTGTCAGCAAAGGCAGAGCAGAGGCTACCATATCTGTGTGCTCACAGTATCCAGTTGGGGAGGAAGGACAATTATACCCACATCACAGCACCGCTCCTGAGCTCTCACTCCTAGCCAAATATGATGTTCCTGATGACCCCGTCACAGTATGACCTCATCTACAGAGCACCAGGCTAGGGAGGTAGTTCACTTGCTAAGGTACTTGCCACACAAGCATAAGGACTTGAGTTCAATTGCCAGAAGCCATAAAAAATCCAGTTATGGTGACATGTGCATGTAATCCCAATAGTATGGAAGCAGAGGCAGCAGATCTCTGGGGTTCTCTGGCCAGTCAGCCTATCCTGCTTGGTGAGTTTCAGGCCAATAAGAGAGCATGCCTCAAATGTAAGGCTGTGTAAGATTTGTTTTTAAACTGTACAGTGTCTTTTTTGTATAGTTAACACACTACCAAATGTGTCTTTAGATAGCCCTGTCCTGGTGGTATTCTCAATAGCTACTAACCTTGCCTGGTACAGTCTGGGGGTTGTAAATTAGCATGCAAATTTAAAGCAGGTTCGTGTTGGTGCACTGCACAAATTAGTTATCGATGGGGACAGTAGGATTTTTTTAATTTTATTATGTTTTTATTTTTTGTTTTTGTTTTATTTTTTTCATCTTCAGTTGTCTCTGATGCAGCTTTTTATGAAGATAATTGTTGTTCTGTTAACTGAATACCACTCGGTAATTGCAAAAAAAAAAAATTGCAGCTGTTTTGTTGACATTCTAAATGCTTCTAAGTAAATACAATTTTTTTTATTAAAAAAAAAGAGAGAGAGAGCATGCCTCCAAAAACAAGATGGATGGTGACCAAAGAGCCACACCAAATATGGCCTTCATTTGCACAAGTTCACATGTGCACACATACTCCCATGAATACACACAAACACACACGTACCACAAAACATCACAGCAACAAAGTGCACGGTAGACATCTTGGTTGAACGTTGTGATCTCAAGATGACTAGGAGTTGTGAGTCTACCGACGTGCTGAAAAAAAATCATGAAACAAACCATTCTAGGACAACACCTCTGTAATCTGTTCTTTCTCAAGGTGGCCTAATGCCAGAAAACTGGGACATCTCCCTCTGCCCTTTAAGATGGCAGTACCTCAGATTGCTTCCGGCTGCTGAGGAATTTGGTAGGCTGGGGAAAGAGTGTGAAGACAAACTGGGAAAATAAAGCTTCATTCTGCCTTCTAAATGGACCTGCTTTGTTTATTTGAGTTTAAAACTGTGTAGGGGACAATCATTGTAGGAAAATCAGGGAAACTATATAAGCAAAAAAGAACATTGAAAATTGCCCATAGGGCAACCCAGTTTTATTTTCTAGCTCCCCTCCTGGTTCCAGGGAATTGTTTCTTCTCAAACTTTTCTTGCTTTCTTTTAAAAGACAAACTAAAGATCATCTGTAATCTTACAGCCTGATGTGACTCTTGTAACCAATGAGGTGGCAATTCAGACTTAAAGGCACAAGCAAGTGGGAAATACATTTGTCTATTCATCTGGAAGTCAGAATTTGGATTCTACTATTATCTTTCTCTTGAATGTCTGACAGGGTTCTACTATGCAGTTCTGGCTAGCCTGGAACTCAATATGTAGACCAGGGTAGCCGTGAACTCACAGAGATCCCCTGCCTCTGCCTTCCAAGTGCTGAGATGGAAGAGGAAGAGGAGGTAGATTGGACTTCATTTCCTGTAGAGTGGAAGTGAGTGAGAAGGTATAGATGCTGCTGGGTAGAGGGGAGTGGTGAGTTCTCCCTTTGGGTGAATGAGCCAAACACCAAGCATGGTAGATAGAGCTGAATGCTCAGCAGGAGGCCACTCAAAGGGAACAATCTACAGTGATACATCTGAAGTTGACCAGGGGAGGCCACTCTGGGGCTCTCTTCAGTTCTTGGATTCACCCTGGAAGAAGGATAGGACTCCTTGTTCTGCATATCATTGGCCTGTGGGGATAGGGTTCCATGTGGCCCCAGCTTGCCTCCAACTCCAAATATAATGAAGAATGGCCTTGGACTTCTGATCCTTCTGGCCTTCTCCTGTGTACTGGGGTTGCAGGCGTGCACCACCTGGCCAGGGTTATGTGCTGGCTGGAGAGCAAACCCCGGGCTTCATCAATGTCAGGGAAGCACTTTTCCAGCTGAGCCACATGCCCAGCCCTGACTGTTTCTTCACATCTACTAGGGCTGTGGTAAGGTGGGGTGTCAGAGCTGACCCCATCCTGCACTCATTTCTCCAGCTGTGCCTCAGCTGTGAGCAGAGCACCAGTGGTCAGAAGAAGAAAAAGAGCAGCCCTGACCTCACAGGAGTGAGAGGCTGAAACTGGCATTTGTGCAGGGCAAGTCATTCTCTGAGGTTCCCATCTGGGGTGATCAGATCTCCACTCTGGCCAAACATCGGAGGATACATCCTGTTATTAACACACGAGCATCCTGATCTCAGGGCTTCAAAGACAGGACTTGTCCATCCTACAGCAGACCTGCCCACGGGAGTGTGGAAGGAAGCTGAGTGTGGTGAACGATTAGCAAAACTTCCAGACGGCTGCACAGTCTGGGGACATGGAGTGACTGCAAAGGTGTTCAGCTGGGAAAACTAGGCTTAACCACAGAAACCTGTGAAGGTCTGTCATAGTCTTGCCGCTCCACACTTGGACTCAGCAGAGTCTCTCAGTGGCTGGTGCCGTTTGTTCTAACGACATCATGAGATTCCAGAGTGAGCAAGAAGGAACTCAGGAATGACTGACCCCTGGAATCCCATTGTGTGTGCGAAGGCATGTAAAGAACCGGGTGATATAGTTCTTATCCCCAGAGAGCTTACAATTTAGCTCAAAGCACAATGCATTTATACATATATACATACATACTCTAACATGTCTAGACCATCTCTACAGCGTAGAACTAAAATACTTTCTAACCACCACATTAGTTAAATATAAAAGATAGAATTAGTGGGATATTATTATAGTTTTACTTTACTTTAAAAATTTTTAAATGTTTTATATATTTTGACCATGATTTCCCAGCTCCCCCAATTCTTCCCAGATCCTCCCCACCTCCCTATGCACCCACCCAACTTCATGTTTGTTCTCTCTCTCTCTCTCTCTCTCTCTCTCTCTCTCTCTCTCTCTCTCTCTGTCTCTCTCTCTCTCTCTCAACAAACAAAAAGTGAAAATTAAACAAAGATAGAAATTACCAAAACAAAGCAAGGTCCACAAAACACACACACACACACACACACACACACACACACACACACACACACACACACACACACATTGGGTTCTGTTTGTGTTGGCCGACTAGTCCTAGGCATGGGGCCTGCCCTGGAGTGTTGCTGATACACCCAGTGACCCTCCTTTGGAGAAAACTGACTTTTCCTTTATCAGCAATTATCCATTCCAAATAGCTTCTTGGATGGTGGTGGGACCTCCACATCTACTCTCCCTTCTCGGTGCTGGGACCCCATCTGGCTTAAACCTGTGGAGGTCCTGTGCATGCTGCCTCAGTCTCTATGAGTTTATATGTGCATCAGTCCTGTTGTGTCTGGAAGATGCTGTTTCCTTGAAATTCTCCATCACCTCTGACTCTTAATCTTCTAGACTCCTCTTCTGTACAAATCCCTGAGCCTTGAAATGAGGGCTTGATAAAGACATCCAAAGTCTCTCATTCTCTGCCCATTGTCCACTTTGGGGTGTCTGTGTTAATTCCCATCTACTGAAAGAAGACTCTCCTGTGATGAGGATTGGTCCATGCACAGATCTTTGGGTATAGCAATATGCCATGGGTTGTATTTATCATATATTTCATTATGAAACATTATTTCAACAAGTATCTTATATATAAATTAATAACTGATTAATACTGATCTTATAAACTCCAGTACTTCTATTTTATACTCATCACACATCCCAAGACAGGTTAGGTCACAGTATTCCAGTTACATGTGTGACTG